AAAAAAAACTACCAAAAATCAATGCGATTTTCTAGAATTTTTTTAAAAAATCTGTGCCAATACTTCTGTTCGGCACTGTATGTATTCAGCATACTCTCGGCAGGTTTAGTGTTAAAATGCAAATCAGTTAACTTAGTTTTCTTTTTTTTTTTTTTCAAAATACACTGAAAACTTTCATACATACATACATATTTATCATATCTATTGATATTTTTGAATTTTGATCCTTCGGAATGCTTTTCGTTTCGTCCATATTGGAGGACTATAATAAAAAAAACGTAAGTATTTCACAAAAGTGATAATAAACTTATTTTGTATGTATGTAAGTATAGTACTGGTTAAATTCGTTTCTCTACAAATACGTAATGCGTATACGCCCCGTCGACTGGGCGCTTCGCACCGACCCTCAGTTCAGCGCACAGTCCGTTGTATTTTGTTCCACGGTGGTGCGTAGCCGACTTTGGTCGCTTTGCGTGCGTCGCAGCTCGCAGCGACAGCGCTTGATGCAGCCCAATATGTAGGAGTGTTTGGTGCGACTAAGTACATAAATATATGGGTCGGAGGTGAAATGCAGTGCCATTAAAACATCGGCCAAAATGAAGAATGGATGCGCCTTGGGCACACGATTCGGTAAAATCGCCATGGGGATGGCAATCTACAGTTAGAAATAGAGAGAAATAAATTCAAATTAAATTCGTTTATTGAGGTCAAAGGTTGTTTATTAAATTGAACACGCCACGATTCACTCACCATTTGCGGCATCCAACAGATCACGAACGAAATACTGAGGAAAGCCATTAACTTGGCGAATTTTATCTCATCAGGGGATGCGTCTGCTGACATTGTGACACTATTGCTGTGGTGATGATACAATGACGAGCCGCTGTTTGGTTCGCCTTCGATGCGATGGATGCTGCCCTTCTCCCGATTCACCAGATCGTAGTGCATGTGCCGTTTGGTCGTGCGGGTGCGTCCGATGAAGCAAAGAACGCGCGTCACAAATAAATTACAAGCAACAATTACGACGCACAAAAGTGTGCCTGCAAAAACAAAAAATAATAAAAAAAATGTTGTAAAAAAAAACAAGAGCGAAGGGTGAGATGAGAAGTATAAAGGCGACGATGGAGTCGATGTCGCACCGCCTGACTATGACGAGGTACGAATAGCTGCTGGAGCTGACGGCCTGATAATTAATTTGTCTTTGTATTCTTACATAAATGTATGTATGGAATGGTAAATGTAATACAAGTAATAATGCATGGAAAAGTATTTAAGTCACTGTTAGATTCAACAATTTTTATTGAAAACAACAATTTACACAAAGGTAGAAGTTATAGCTGCTATTTCGGAGATCACCACATCTCCTCATCAGACTTCTTCAACCGCCGTCACTGGGATATGAACCAGCGACGTCGGATTAGAGATGGGCACGGGACACAAATTGCAATTCCGATCCGTCGCATTCCGAAATTCAGTTTTAAAGTCCCGAGCCCGCCCATCCCGACATTTTTCAGAATTGTACCACCAGTCGCGTGGGTCTCGAAATCTATCACTGAGATTAATTCACATGTCTTTCAAACAAATTTTGAATAATAAAAAATCTGGCATCTTCCGGTTATTTTAGTTTTTTGCAGTGCTTTCCTTTTTCGTATCAATAAAACATAAAAATTTATTATTTCATAAAAAAGTTTTCAAGAAAGATTTTCTGAATTTGCGGAGGTTACGAGTTTTATCGGGTGTCGGGAAAGGATTTAAATCTTTGCCGATGCCGCCATACCGGCCATTTCGAAATCATCTTTACCTCGGATTACGAAGCCAAGTGGTCTACCCTCTGAGCTAAGTTCGCCACGTAAACTGTGTTTCTTTTTCCACTTTTTTCATGTGTTAACACTGCTATTTACAATTGAACATGTGGTTGTGGTTCTTTGTTGGTTTTTGTTAATAATTCTTTTATTAGAATGTTTAACTTTTAGGTGTGCTCGTCCTTAGGTTATTTGTTATTTACGGCCTTATAACAATTATATTCATCAATGTTTATTGAGCTTGAGGCCGTTTTTGTTAGATATAAAACAAATAAGCATAGCTAAAAGTAATAAATCTGTAAAAACTCACCGAAAAGCATAAACAACACCGAGTAAGTTTTATTCAAGAAACCTTCTGCATCCCGATAACGCAAACATTTCGGATTTTCTGGATCACTCTCATCGATGTAGGCGCCAAAACCAATAAACGGCAAAAACGTTATAATGACTGCGATGAGCACCAACGAATTTATGGTCTTTCGTACAAGCTCGTAAGTGATGTGCTGTGTAGGTAGGTGGTGGGGTTTGTGTGGAAAAAATTACATTCGAGGTTAGTTGTATGGACATACATACATAAGCATTGGTTATGAAAAATATTAGCTAATTAACATGTACTTCGTATATAAGTATGTATGTATGTGCATATGCACTTTAAATGAAATGAACTTTAGATGAGGTAAATATGCAAGTTATAATAATAATAATAATAAACCCAACGGTTTTTACCCTCCATTCCCGCCCATCCGCACGAGGGGCGCAGTCCGCATGACGTACGGAACCAATATTTTAAATTTTTGTGCCGAGTCACGATAGGCAGGAGTTTGTTAAGTGTCGAGATCTAAAACTGTTCAGCTACAGAACTAAATTCATCAGCTGATTTTATGTATCTATGTCAATAATTCACTTATTGAGAGAGGAGAGTATCGCTTTCTTAATGCTGAAAAGCGGATCTGATATATCAAACGTGCTGGAATGAGAGTTAAAATCCTGGCATAAGCAACGGAGTGGGTCGTGCAATTCAAAATTGGTTTTACAAGCTTTCAGAAATATGGGACAAAAGTGTCTTCATACGCGTGAGGGAACATTATGTATATGAAATGATACAATTTGTTATCCAAATATATAAATGGGGTACTCCACCGTCACGGGTGGAACATTTCTATAGTAAAAATGTACTTTCTTTTTAAATTTAATTATAAAGTACTCAACAATTCTACATTTTGATAAATCTACACCTAATTCACTATTATATGAGTTATTACCAAATACAGAAAAAATTCCAACTTACTTTTATATGGGAAAAAATCTGTGTTACTTTTTCTGTCACGGGTGGGACAAAAAAAGAACCTGCTCTTTGGAGCAGATATATTTTACGGTAACTCTGCAAATTTATTTCGCTTTTCTGTGTGAACTTGATTCCTTTAAATAAAAAAAAGAACCACGAATACTAACAAAGCAAAAACGTACACAAAAATTATTCCTTTATTATAAAAAATCCGAAATTCCTCTGTCGCGGGTGGGACAACGTTTGTCGCGGACACGCACGAATTTTTATATGAAAAGGAGCTTTTAGTGTGGTCCATATTGAAGATTGTTTATTAAAAAATATAAGATGCCAAATAGGGGTTCAATTCACTCACGTTTTTTCTTAGGGTAGTACATTTTATATGGAAGAAAATACCTAGCTCCGTCAGGCAAAAATATTATTAAATATCTACGCTATTTCCTATCGTCTTGAAATTTTCACTTCTATTAACTTAAATTTAATGGGCTATAAATCTTCATACCTTGAATTGATTTTGAAATAATAAGTTTCAAAGTTTTGGATGTAATTGTTAAAGTAAAGTAATGTGCTAGACTTTTACTAAAAAAAAACTATAAACATTAAATAAATAAAAAAAAAAAAGAAGCAAATTGTCGAAATTATCTTGGTTTTAATAAAGTATATTTGACGTATGAAATACGTAAAATCAACATAAAGAGATGCCGAGCATGCGTGGTTTGTTCCCAGTACGAATAGTTACAAACCGGTTCTTTCGAACAAGCTCGAATAACACATCTGACACTTCTAATCAGATTTTTAAGAAAAATTCCAAGTATGCAGTTATATAGCGCATTCATATTTAGTATACAAAGTGCAAGTTTGAAGTTGTTAGAAAATCGCGTTGATTTTTGACAATTTTTTTCACGCAGGTTCTTCCATACAAAGTATGCTCGGCAATTACTTTTTGTATGGAGAAAATGAGCAACACCTTCCATTAAAAAAATTGCCAAAAATCAACGCGATTTTCTAAAATTGAATGTGCTATATAACTGCATACTTGGAATTTTTCTTAAAAGTCTGATTAGAAGTGTCAGATCTGTTTGTATACGAGCGTATACGCAAGAACCAATTCGACCGATGAGGATTAACTTAATCAGTTGACCACAAGGGTATATAGGTAATCGGCAAGTCAGCGCGTTCCCCCTCCCCTTCGTCCACTTCAGCAAACATTTAAAGCTTATCAGCCCTGTAAACCAACCTCTGACAACTGTCCCACCCGTAGCTGTCACGGAGTATTACATATATGATAAAAACGCATTTAAAGCTTGAATTTGTTATTTTTTGGAAGATGTTTACAAATGTCTTATTCACACGTTTGTTAGTTAAAAAAAATAATAGTTTTTGCACTAAGGTTCACTTTCTCACGGAACCGCCCGTATATGTATCCATATGTAAGTACTTAATAGCTCAAAAGAAAGGGCAAATATTCCTTTATATATACACATCAGCGAATAGTTTCGTAAATTGACAACCCGTGCCGACTTGCAGTCAAAATTATCAGAATAATCTTTGTGCAGTTCGCGTGTTTTGTTTCCTCATTTTACTTCTATATAAGTTGGTATTACTGTATTCGATACAGTATTAGGGCATACTATTTAGTAAATCTGCGATTTTAGTATTTTAGCAGGTAGTCAGGATTTTTTCCAAGGGAACATAAATTATAATATATTTCCAAAAGTTTAGACAAAATATATAAATATGGGTATCAAATAAAAAAAATTCGAACCAAGATTAATTATAACTTTTGTTTTCAATCATCCTTTTGGAACATGTCAAAAATGTCCGTTGAAAATATTATCCTTTAAGATTTTTAATTTTGAATGCATTTTGAAGAATCTTAGTTTCATTTAATTGCTATTAATAAATGTAAGCACAACTATTTACTTCAAAATATTGGCTAAAACTTTCACTAAAAGTCGGCACGGGTTATCGTTATCCTACGGCCATAAAACTTCCTATATCTGCTATTTATGCTAAAAAGCACAAATATAGATCAAAATTTGCTAACAAATTTTTGTCCATACATTCTTGGGACAGTCTAATGTACATATATACTATGTGCTGCATATTGAGCGCAAAAGTCCCAAACTCTGAAGGGCTAAATTAAAAAAAAAATACCTACACTAATTTAAACTGACTGACTAGAGTTCTTAGTTTCATTCTCTATCTCCTTACCGTCCGAAAATGCTATGAAGTAAAAAAGTTCAATTTAAATTTATTTAATTTTGTTTGAGACGTATGTATGTATACGATAAAAGTTTCGATTTTTCTCCTACAGCTATGATTTTTCCCACAGGGATGTGAAACAAGAAAAATCCTAAAGTATATAAATAATTAACGCTTATATTTTCACACATGTATGTACATATATGTATATTTATACAAATGTATGTATGCTTATTCGTGTGCACATATGTTTGTAAGTATGTATGTGTGTAGTACAAAATATACTTGTGGCTCTTTATGTACGCATGCATGTATGAGGCACGTGTTAAATTTATTTTAGACTAACTCACCTTATGATAGATGAAAGGCCGCGCCAAAGCCATCCAACGTTCAATGGCCATGACCGCCGCAATGCAGCCGGAACTAAGTCCGAAGAAACGACACAACACCTTTAGGGTGCAATCCCAACGCACATAAGCCTTAAACTTATCATCAGGCACGTAAACTTTGAGCAACAGCGTTAACAGCATGCCAAGTAGGCCGATAAGATTATTTGAAGCTAAGCAACTAAAAGAAAATAGAACATATTTAGCATTATCCTTATAAGTATTTGTTGTCGGACAATAAATTTATGCTATACAAATACAAACATATGTATGTATATACATACATATGTACATACCAACCCATTAACCCAATTTGTCACAAAATCGAGAACGAGTTCAAATCGACGTGGGTTTGGTGAACTCGTCTGGGCGAATTCGAAAAACTATCAAAAATCAATGATGCGCGTTTTGAGCCACACTTCAAACTTGTACTCTATTATACAAAAATTTAATGGGCATTAAAACCGCTTCCAATTTTTCTTTAACCCCTTGAAGACCCCTGTTGCTAATAGGCAACATTGACATTTTGGAAGGTTGCATATTCAAAGACCTTGCATATAGCATGAATTCTTGATTTTATGAGTTTGGTTGAATCGNTTGGTAGAAACGAAATCAGTATAGACCTTGCATATAGCATGAATTCTTGATTTTATGAGTTTGGTTGAATCGCAAACAATATTCGTATACAAACATAAATAGAAAAAAATTTTTACTTTGAAAACATTGTGACTATAAAGAAAATCACCAACGGGCTTTTTGAGTCACAATATTTGTCTATAATAACTCCAGTTAAAGTTCCGTTGTTATTTCTAGTTTCATTATTTTCACTTTTGGTTGAAGGAAACCGAGAAGATGCTTCTAATGGATCTGAAATATCATGTAATAGAATTATATAATATTTTTTATAGAAATAACTACAAAATAAAACAAAACTATGCTTCTGATTCAGATTTTTTTGAGTATTAAATTTCAGTATAACAAAATGCAAGTTTGGAGTTGCTAAAAATCGTGTTGGTTTTATAATTTTTTTTTCATGCATTTTCTTCCATGCAAAAAAAAAGATAAAATAAAAACTCGAAAATATTTTGTATGTAAAAAATGCAAAACGCCTTCAACAAAAAAAATCTTAAAAAATCAATGCAATTTTCTAGAGACTTCAAACTTGAATTTTTTTTTACTAAAATTTTATGGACTACAAAACTGCATACCAAAATGATTGAAAATCCGCACGAAAATCGATTGAATTTTGCCGAGTTTAAAAATTATATATTTTATTTTTTGTTGTAGTATGAACCATGATAAACGGTGGTATGTAGCAAGAGCCGTCAAAAGTTAAAATATTCTAAATGCTCTAAACTGCCCACAATATGTAGCTGTGGTTATGGTGTATTATTTCTGATGTAGCTAGCGAAATAGCTTGTGGCTGCGGTACTACATTTTGTTTAAGAGAGAAAAATATAGGAAGGTAGAACCGCTGAGAGACACTTTTAGCATTTTCGACGTTTGCAAGCAATTTAATTTTAAAATTTTACACACAAACTCACACACATACATTGTCATTTTCAATCTCAAACAATAGAAACTTTGAACAATTAAGAAATTTCTTTTCCTTACTCTCAATTTTATATGATTTTAAAATGCTGGCAAACTTCGAAAAAAATCATGGCCGACCAATTGAGATAACGGTTCTACCTTACTATGTTTTTAATTAATCGCTGGTCATTGACCAAGATTATACCATAAAATGCCTCTGAGCTGTATGTAGAGTTGAAGAAAAAAAATCAAATTTTACGTGTATTTTATATGGGAAATCTTTGCATGCCTTGGGCGAGTACTTAATGTTAATATTAAGGGTTCAAATTTTCAGCGAGTTTTTTAGGTGTTTTCCACAAAATTTCAAGGTAGGAATGAAAAAAAAAACAATACTCGCAAAAAGCACCCTAATGTATATTTTTTAATTTAATTTGTGGAAACATATTTTATTTTCGTATTTTGATTATCATTTTCTTTTTTAGCTTAATCTGCAGATTTTATTGTTTAAAAGAATACATTTTTTTAATTCTTTTTAATTTTTAAAAACACTTTTTTTAATAATTACTTATTTAATCTTTTTCTTTTTTATTTTAATTTTTCTTTAAATTTTGTTCATGTTATTATTTTTAAGAGATTTTTTTTCGTTTTAATTTACATACATTTTTATAAACTTTTTCTATAAATTTTTTCTCCTTTATATTAAATTCTTTTCTTTTAGCTTTTAGTTTTTATTGTTTTAAAAAGAAAAATGTGTATATTTTTCAATTTCATTTAATTTTTAGTAAATTTTCTGCTAAAAGACAGCCTGAAACTCATTAAAAATTGTTGAACATAAAATACAGACACAAACCCCAATGGCCTCCTTTTTAGCAGATCTTTGAATTATGCTTTCGAAAGATAGAAAAGAGCTCTCAAGATTGTTGCCAGAATTAGCAATTGTCTGACGAAAGTGAGTTGAAAGACAGTTGCCAGAATTTCCATGCATTTAATTTCTTATAGCATTAATCAAAAACCGCAAAATATTTCCACAAATTCGTACGTTATAGAACAAAATAAAACCGTTCTTATGCAATACTTATAATTGCTGTTTTGTACTTCATCATTGATACTGGTATGTGAGCGCGTGTTGGTAATGTGCGAAATGTTATTGAATTAACGCAAATTTATATTCAAATGAGTTGCGTAATTGAATGCTGCTTATTGCGGTAGTTTTAATTTGTGTACAATGCTGGGCAGATAATGAATTTTTGATTTCTAGAGAAGAATTATAAAATTCCAAATACAGTCGTTTCTCTTCTGTGCCAACTGACGCCAATTGGAAATGCCAAGTGAAGCCAAGTCCTTCTCCAACGTGTCTTTCCAATGAAGAGGAGGTCTTTCTATTCCTCTGAATACTTTCATAGCTGGAGCGTTTCTGTACATTCGGACAAAATGACCTATGCCTCCGTACCATATACCAGCACGGGCATGATAAGTGACTTTACTCCTGAATTGCTTACTAAGTCCAAAGTGGCACTTGTTGGCAAGAGTGAAGAAGTGGTTTGTGTCGATGCTATTTTCGCTGGTCTTTTCCAAGATTTGGCGTATTGTGGATACCTGATCTATAGTGGATTTTCTACGTCTAAAGCCACACTGATAAGGATCAATTAGTTCATTGACGGTGGGCTTGAGTCTTTCACACAATATGCTCGATAAGACCTCGGTAGTTGGGCTGATCCCGCAGAGCAAACTTAAATTCCAATCGTCGGGCATGTGTTGATCTGACCATACTACTCTGTATAATACGGTGAAAACAACAATCGCCTTGTGTGAACGGCCTTTCTACTAATCGCTTCTAAAATTGCCTGTAAAATCGCCCCATGTGAACACTGTTTAAGGGTTGATGCATACACCTTAAAAGCCATTTGCCGTACATTGGCCGATATGGTGGAAAAGTGATCCCTCCATAATTTAAGTACGTTCTGAACATCGGTAACTAGGTCGCCATTGTTGTTTTTACAGGAGTTCGCCCTGGTCTTCAAACCCTGCGTATGTCGTCTAACCCTCTTATAAAATTTTCGGGCGTTTTTCCTGTCGGCCTGCATTTCAAGCTCTTCGGACTAACGTATTTCGGCCTCCTACTTCTTATTGTGGAAAACACGTTTCGCTTCCTTCTTCGGTTCACTTAGAGCAGTCCCACGTCTGCAGGCGGCATCCTTTTTCTTTGCAGCTTCTTGACACTCCTCATCGAAGTTGTTCCTTCCGGCTCGTTGAAATCCGACTACCTCTTCGATGGCGGTGCTTAATGAGCATATGTACTTAAATATAAGTAAATACATATTCACATGATCGCTAATACGATTTGCTATCTTGTTTATATGACAAAAATTTTGGAAAGGTGGCCCTTACGTTCAGCCAAAATACATTTTTTATTTTTTATTTTTGAAAATTGCCTTCCAAAAATACTGTAGATTCAGGGGTGTACAGTGAACTTTTTTTCTGCCACGCTCTAATGTACACCTGTGCACATACATAAACGTTTGTAATTAATATCGATACCATCTGACTCTAACGAACCTACTATGCCGAGCCTAAGCACTTAACGCCTACGCAAATTTTCCGTTATTTTATGCATGATATAAATACGCATACATTAACGAGTAGCAACTTTGTTAATTAACAGTTGCAAGTTAAGTGAGCTCCAAGCTATGTTCAGCATATATACGTATGTATGTTCCTATGTACATACGTACATATTGCATAAACACCCTAAAGGTAATTCAACAGGTGTCTATTTGTACACTAAGAAAAAAGTAACATGCTTTTTCCAAACAGAGTCTTTTTTGGTTTTCGGTCCTTGTTTGTGTGGTAAAATTTGTGAACTGAAAAAAGATTATTAAGCTTATGTGAAACGCAATATTTAAATTAAGTTTATATGAATAATTTTTTCTTAGACAATTTTCGTCCTATCTTTGAATTCTAAAAAATAAAGTCGACATACATACAAACGCTATGGTGCTTGCAGTCGCAAATAAGGTAATACATATAAACAACTTTATTTCGAGTGAAAATGGAACTAACGCTTATTTCGTAAACAAATAAATATGAAGAATTACATACATACATACATATGTATTTAAGTATTACTTCACTTGCACATCTGATAAAAGTGCGAATCAGTTAATTCTAAATGATTGGCCAATGTTTGTAATGCGTTTCATTGAGTGTTTGCATACCTTAAATAAAGTATGAACACGTGTGTATGTGCATACAGTGACTCAAACCAACGTTCACGTGTTGATATTGTGTTTTAATGTTCACAATGTTTTTCAAGTTACATTATTTTTTTTTGTTATTTCTCTATAAAAATATTGTCCAAGCTTTAGCCAAAATCATGTAAATCAAGCTTCGAATCGACAATAAAATTGACAAAGTTTTGAACTTTATACAAAATTTAGGAATATTCAACAGATTCTCATCAAAATTTCGGGCTCTACAATTTGAATTTTTAGAACATTTCTGGTTATGCCGTCACCGAAAATTATTAAAAAAGAACACGATTTTGTAGCCGCTTGAAACTTGCACTTCATTGCACTAGAATTGTGTGGGCTATAAAACTACTTAACCAAAATGTGCTAAAGAATCAGATTAAAAAACTTTGAAAATGTG